TATGGCTACGACGAGGCCAATTGAAGTTGCATAGACAATATGTGAACTCCTTGCATCTCGTTGGGACTAGCCAAGTATCGAATTGAGTCTCTTGTGATGATCATTGCACACTAGCGAAAGTGTGGATTCTTGTTTGACTTTGGTGACAATGGCCTGTGTGATAATCTTACTGTGAATAGTGCTTCCGCTAAACCTTCACCTAAACAATATTTTTGTTCCTAATCTTTTTGATCTGGCTATCCAAAATGGCTATAGGCTCATAAATTGTCCTATTTCTTATGTTTTAATTAGGAAATGACCATTTTACCCTTCCCCATAGTGTTATCATGCTTAGTTTGTGTTGTAGGAATGGTTGGTATTGTTTCCGATGCGATCAGATGTGTTTTTGGTGATTTTGACCCTTTTGAGTTGGGAATTATTAGTATAGTTGACTTTGGTCAGCATTTTTAATTACGAGTTTCGGTTAGAGATTCAAAATCTTCAATGAATTGATTATGCATTTGTGTTGTATGTGTTATGATGCATTTGTTGTGAACGCAATGGAGACATCTGCTACTATGAATGATAAGCAGGATGCGACCAGTGATACTCACATCGACAAGTTACGTCGGAGTACTAGAAATGTAATTCCACCTAAAAAGTTGGACAATTAATTTTGGGCAGGAAGAAAGTCACATGTGCAAGGCAACAATTAGTTAAGTAAGTTGTATAAAAGTGTGAGAACATTGGTAGAAAAAGGTAGCAAGTTTATTATGATTCTGAATGTTCTTGTTAGTAGATTTCCAGATTAGATGAGTCAGCAAAAGTAGTTATACATTTTAGCGGGAAAAATAGTTAAGAACAGTACACAGTCAGGAATTTAGTGAGCTTCAGGAAATCAGTTAGCAACAGATTTAACTCAATCTCTTTCAATGTATGCAACTATAAATACTTGTACAAGTCATTGTAAATATATGAATAGATACATGTTGTTTGTCTACATTCAATCTTCTTCGATCATTTCTTCTCTTCCATAATCTGTGGTTATTTTCTCGAAACCTCTCCGATAGGATCCTGAAATAGCTTTTGAATCCTCAAGTTGTAATTAACTCATGCAATTCAGCTATCAGTGGTATCAGAGCCATACGATTCCTTGGCATCAATGGCGAAAGGGACAAGAGCAAGTGGAGACCCAATCAATGAACCTTCAACTTCAGAAGTAGGGGATTTGCGTGATATGATGTAGAATTTGATAACAGAGGTTGGAGCTTTACCAGGTAAAATTTCTTCTCTGGAGAAGTTAGATCAAACAGTGATTGAGTTGCAGAACCAATTTGCAGCATCTGGGAGAATCGAAGGGACAAGACACCATTGGAAACCGAGGAAGGACCTACCGAAAAAGTTCAAGCAGAAGAAAGAATCCATAGAAACAGGGGACGAAGCCCTAATAGTGGTAATAGTTACCATTCCAACCAGTCGAATTTTACTCGATGGTCAAGAATGGAATTCTTGAGGTTTAATGGGGAGGATCTCAGATCATGGTTGTTCAAAATTGAACAATTCTTTTCTATGGAGAATGTTATTGCTGAAGAAAAAATTGGGGTGGCTGCTCTGCAATTGGAGGGGGAACCCATTCAGTGGCATCTATCGTTTATGAGATACAGGCAGTATCTGCATCCGGCCACTTGGAATGATTATGTGATGGCATTAGTAGAAAGATTTGGTACTGACTTTGATGATCCCATGGAGGAAATCAAAAAGGTGAAACAGGTGGGCAGTGTGAAGGATTATCAAGCGATCTTTGAGAAGAATTTGACCAGGGTGAACTTATCTCAAGAGAATGCAATCAGTTGTTTTTTGGGAGGATTGAAACCAGAGTTGAATATTGTTGTCAAAATCACAAACCCTACAACATTATCTCAAGTTTATAAAAGTGCTAGGATGCAAGAAGTATTCCTTTATGCTATTAAGCAACCTCATTCTTCATTATATTCAAACTACAGTGGAAATTCAGCAAGAAGGGGAGTAGATCAGAGGGTTCATAATAGGCCACTCTTGCCAACTCCTGGTAGAGAGGGAGCTCCAATACATAAAGGGTTTCAAAGAAGATCATCAAGCCCAGAGGAAATGAATGAGAAAAGAGAAAAAGGCCTTTGCTTCTTTTGTGATGAAAAATATGTTATGGGTCACAAGTGTAGAAACTTGAAGCAACTTTACATTCTGGAATTAGAAGAAACAGATGGAGAGAAATATTGTGAGGAGGAAGAGCAATATGAGGAGGTGAATCAAGAATTGGAGATGCAACAAGGCATTGAACAGATGGAGATATACATCCATGCTTTGAATGGCTCATTAGGGTATAGGACCTTGAGGGTCACTGGATATCACTCCAAACAACCATTACACATTTTGGTGGACACTGGGAGTTCCCACAACTTCATTGATCCATCATTGGTTGAACAATTAGGGTGTCAAGTCACACAAACTACTCCTCAGTTAGTTGCTGCAGCCAATGGTACTATGAAGGTGGATAAGTCGTGCAAAATTTCTTGGTTGTTGCAAGGAGCAGAGTTTGCAGCTGAATTTTTGTTACTTCCATTAGGAAATTGTGGGATGGTACTAGGAGTTCAATGGCTATTGACTCTAGGTGATATCAAGATGAATTTCAGCAAACTCACTATGGAGTTTTGGTATAATGGCAGAAAACACTTACTAAGGGGTGCAGGCAAACAAATTACGTGTGTTGGAGCTGGAAAGCTTGGGAAGTTAACAGGTAATCAATCTCAATTATGTATGATACAAGTAATTCCTCACATGAGTGTTGAACTACTTGCGTTAGAAACTAAAGATAGCATTGACAAGGATCCTAGAATAGTGAGTCTATTGAAAGATTATAGAAAATTATTTGCTGAACCTACAGGATTACCACCATCTAGGGGGATTTATGATCATAAGATTGTGTTATAATCGGGAACAGAACCTGTTAATAAAAGACCCTATAGATATCCTTCTGTTAAGAAGGACATCATTGAAGAACTTGTGCAACAAATGTTAGATCAGGGCATTGTTCAGCCTAGTAGTAGTCCATTTGCCTCACCAGTGGTGTTGGTTGGCAAGAAGGATGGCTCATGGAGGCTATGTGTAGATTATAGTGATCTTAACATGCACACTGTTAAGAACAAATTCCCTATACCTCTGGTAGAAGATCTTTTGGATGAACTTGGGGGTTCAGTAATCTTCTCCAAAATAGATCTTAGGGCAGGGTACCATCAGTAGAGGATGGCCAAAGAAGACATACCAAAAACAACATTCCGAACTCACTCGGGGCATTTTGAGTATTTGGTAATGCCATTTGGATTATCTAATGCACCAGCAACATTTCAAGGGTTAATGAACACTGTGTTTCGAAAGTTTTTGAGAAAGTCTGTCCTAGTTTTTTTGATGATATTCTGATCTATAGTCATTCTGTTGAAGATCATCTGTTGCACCTGAGAAACGTGTTTGCTGCAATGAAGGATCATCATTTACTAGCCAAGGAAAGCAAATGTTTCTTTGGAGTGGATCGAATTGAATATCTGGGCCATTTCATTACCAAGGAAGGCGTATCCACTAATCCTGCAAAAATACTTGCTGTTCAAAATTGGCCAGTACCAACTACTATCAAGCAATTAAGAGGCTTCATTGGATTGGCTGGTTATTATAGGAGATTCATACAACGGTTTGGCATCATCAGTAAACCACTAACTAATCTTTTGAAGAAGGATAGTTTCAAATGGTCACCAGCTGCTATTGAAGCGTTCAAACAACTGAAGGAAGCTTTAACTAGGACTCCTGTTCTCGCCTTACCTGATGCAAACAACACATTTGTGGTTGAAACAGATGCTAGTGGGTATGGCATTGGAGCGGTGTTGATGCAACAAGGTCATCCTATTGCCTTTATCAGCAAGACTCTTTCGCCAAGACATGCAGCCATGTCTGTCTATGATAGGGAATTACTAGCTATTGTACATGCCGTTTCTAAATGGTCTCAGTATTTGCTTGGGGAAAGGTTCATTATCAGTACTGATCAGAGAGCTCTGAAGTTCTTAATGGAACAAAAATTGCACACCAATTCCCAACTCATGTGGTTGACCAAGTTAATGCCTTTTGATTATACCATTGAGTACAAAGTAGGGATTGAAAATAAGGCTGCTGATGCACTTTCAAGGGTTTCTGGTGCAGAACTCTTGGCTTTGATTATTTCCAATAATGACTCTGAATTGTTGCAAACTATTGAAGATATTTGGACAGCAGACATTGAATTAAAGGGACTGATTGAGAGGTTGCAAGCTGACCCACATACTCATTCACAGTTCACTTGGTATCAAAACAAATTGAGGAGGAAAGGCAGATTAGTTGTTGGCAAGGTGGGACAACTAAGGCAAGATATCATCACTTTGTGGCATGCTACACCCCAAGGGGGCCATTCCGGGATTGAGGCTACATTGAAGAGGTTACTTACACTCTTCTATTGGAAGGGAATGCGACAGGATGTTAAAGTGTTTGTGCAAAAGTGTGATGTGTGCCAGAGAAGTAAAGCTGATCTAGCAGCTTCTCCTGGTCTTTTACAACCCTTACCAATCCCTGAGGTAGTGTGGTCTCAAATCAGCATGGATTTCATTGATGGTTTACCAAAATCCCATGGCTATGAAGTCATACTAGTGGTAGTTGACAGGCTTAGCAAGTATGGCCATTTTATTCCTCTTAAACATCCCTATACAGCTCAGTCTATAGCTAAGGTTTTCATGGATATCATAGTCAGACTTCATGGTCTACCCGATAATATCACTAGTGACAGGGATGCTGTGTTTTTCAGTACATTTTGGCAGGAATTATTTTCATTACAAGGTGTTCAGTTGAATCTATCTTCAGCATATCATCCCCAGAGTGATGGTTAAACTGAAGTTCTTAATAGGTGCTTGGAGACCTATCTGAGATGTTTTTGTGCGGAAGATGCTAAAGGGTGGTATGACTGCCTACCGATGGCAGAGTTTTGGTACAATACTTGCCATCACTCTGCTATTGAGTTAACTCCTTATGAAGCACTTTATGGCAGACCTCCTCCATTGCATTTACCTTACCTGCCAGGGGAGTCCTCATCTGCTGAGGTGGATAATACCCTCATCAATAGAGAACTGAAACTACAATTGTTGAGGCATCATTTGATACGCGCTCAGTTGAGGATGAAACAACAAGCTGATAAACATAGAAGTGACAGAAGTTTTTCAGTTGGTGATTGGGTATACTTCAAGGTCAGGCCTTACAGACAAGTGACTATATCCGAGACTCTTCATCACAAGCTCGCTGCTAAATACTATGGCCCATTACAGATTATTAGAAAGGTTGGTCCAGTAGCATATACTTTGCTCTTTCCAGATTCTGTGAAGATTCATCCAACAGTACATGTGTCCCTCTTAAAGAAGTGTTATGAAGTTCCTTCCCTGGTCACCTATCCACCAACCACTGATTTAGCAAATCCCCATTGTTTAGACCCTGAAGCCATATTGCAGCGAAGGATGGTTAAGAAAGGTAATAAGGCAGTGACGCAGGTCTTGGTGAAGTGGAAAGATTTGTCGGCAGACGCTGCTACTTGGGAGTACTCGAACATCCTTAAGACCAGATTTCCATCTTTTGATCCTTGAGGACAAGGATCTCTTTGCGGGGGGAGTACTGTTAGTAGATTTCCATATTAGATGAGTCAGCAAAAGTAGTTATACATTTTAGCGGGAAAACAGTTAAGAACAGTACACAGTCAGGAATTTAGTTAGCTTCAGGAAATCAGTTAGCAACAGATTTAACTCAATCTCTTTCAATGTATGCAACTATAAATACTTGTACAAGTCATTGTAAATATATGAATAGATACATGTTGTTTGTCTACATTCAATCTTCTTCAGTCATTTCTTCTCTTCCATAATCTGTGGTTATTTTCTCGAAACCTCTCCGATAGGATCCTGAAATAGCCTTTGAATCCTCGAGTTGTAATTAACTCCTGCAATTCAGCTATCAGTTCTCTCCCTCTTCTTCTGTCTTCTCAACCCAAATCTAGGCTCCTAGTTTCAGATTTCAAGTGTATTTCCTTGTATCAGTAATCACTTACCATTCCTTTTGTGCGTCCAGTCATGTTGTAATTGTATTCAGTAAAACATATAAGTTTAAGTTTATATATATATATATATATATATATATATAAATATATATAAGTGTTTGTTTGTATTGTAAAAGTTTAGAGTGTTACAACATTCATACTCATTTGACATATCATTGTTCATGGAAATTTAAAAAAGTGGAGAAAAGCTATTTATTTTAGAAAGAAAATGAGACACCTTACATTTGTCATTGACCACGAGTTAGGTGACAAGTTGATGAGATATTGAGATTTTGATATTGTTGTATGGACTGCGAGTCCTCCTTGGGTCTTTTTCTAGAAGTTAAAGTTTGGCAAGGTGTATACAATAGGTTCTGCGACGATCTTGATTCAACCACATCATTTCATCATCTTATTTCATTGAATTGGCTAGATTTATTATAATGTTTGACTTGATTATCTATTGATATGAGTATTAACCATAGCCTTATGTGTTAACCTAATTATTGAAGTTTATACACAATAGCCTAACTATGCATGCCTTTAATTTTTTTTGGTTATTAAGGTCATATTGTGTGTGAAATCATTTATAAGGTATTAGTCTAGAAATATCTTTAGATATCTATAAAAGCATTGTTTGTAATGTTGTTATGAAAGAGTGGGGTTTCTATCTCTCTTTCATTTGTTCACACCAATGGTTTTTGTTTTTCCTTTTCTTCTAATATAAATAAATTTTAATTTTGATTCTTACGATAAAAATACATGTAATATTTAATTAGATTCATTACCTAATTATCAATATATTATGTTCAGTATGTATTGTCACTTCATAATTGACAGTGATACAATTCTAAAAATAATTCAAATATAACGATACGCTCAAATTACACATCCCTAAAGAAGAATAAATGATCATTATCAAGTAAAGAACCCAACTTGTATGTACGGGTTGATCCCACGAGAAATATGGTTTAGACTTAACTTTAACCACGATTATATTCATTTAGTTATTGTTTTTCCGAAAACAAGAAATTAAAGGGGGGGGGGGGGATTTGTGAAATAAATTCAGGAAATTATGTAAGTAATCGATGAGTAAGATTCAAACTTTAGTCGTTATCAAGATGAGAAAGTAACTAGGGTGTACGTGTTCCCCATAAGCTCATAACGCGGTAATCCTAGTACTAGCAATCCTTTCTTAGTGTATTACATGCAAAGTGATAAGTTAGATATCTCCAAATCCTTGGTCCGGCATCTAGAGAATATCAACCGGCACATTGGTCCGGCTACGTCTGTATAATTTACTTACCCTTACCTTTACCTCATATTCGACATCACATCGATGCATGGCTTAATTTTCACCCTCGCACCAATCAACATTAGACTATTAGATAGTATCACACTAAATCTATGTTGATAATTCTTTTCTCGTTAATTACCTCCTTCGTCTGGCAAGTAGTAACAAGGCAAGTTCTAACGTTCGCCACAATTTAAAAGATTTCTAAGCGAAAGAATTATCAATGCATGCAATAACAGTATTGAAGAATTACTTAGTTACTATTCCTACGTTGTTAATCGCTCATGGTTCCCACAACCCTAGTTGTGGATTTATTTACCCGTAATAGCAAGAACACAATTCATTTTCTTAGATAAAGATATTATGAACTTACGTAATGAGTAGAAGAAACCCAGAATTTCAACTTGAATTGCAAAGTCAAAATCTTCAAAACGAACTTCAAAAATTAAGTATTGCTAAAGTTGCAAGTTAATATCCCAAAGTCAACAACTAAAATAAATGTAATAAAGTTTAACCCCAAAAAATGAGGTTTACATGCCATATATATTGAAAAATAAGTCCTAACTAAAAAGGAAACGAAATAAGGAAATAGTTTTTCAGGACGCGTATTCGATCTACGACACTGACCTACAGACCGTGGATTGACCTACGGTCTGTAGGTCCATTCCGTGACTCAGGACTTAAGCAAAATTTCAGCTTCCAAAACATCATCTCTGAAGCAAATGACGGATCAACAGTACGGACGGTGGTTTGATCCATGGTCCGTAGATCCTCTTCCGTAGCTCAACACTTAGAATCTTCAAAATCAGGTACTAGAACCCCTTCTCTAAATCATTTGACGGAACATCAGTACGGCCCGTAGGTCGATCTACGGTCTGTGGTTTACAACCGTGGTTCCATACATGGTCAAGAATTCCGTCTTTTTCCTTCAAGCCTTGCCTGCCTATCTACGGTAATCATCTACGGAGCGTGAATGGACCTACGGTCCGTACATCACCTCCGTAGATGCTCTTTTCAGCACATCCTTCAGTTGTGTCTCTCAGTTTCCACGTCTGAACATATTTCCTGCAAACATGGTAAAAATGCATAAAAACCAATACAAAATGGCCCTAGACACATACAACTCTTAAGTGAAATGTATTAAAAATACCTTAAACTCACGGTATATCAACACCCTCAACTTACATTCGTTTTTTGTGCTCAAGTGATGCACTAAGACTCTAAACGACACTTGTATAGAAGCAAGCAATTCAAGCACAAGCAATCACATGGCTCTCTACTCCGACTCTCTCTTTGGGTGCAAATCTTTTCTCTCAGACTCAACAAGCTAACTTGTGTGGATCAAAACATGACAAAGATCGACCAATCAAAACACAACATACACAGTTTTACTATCATCAAGGTACCAACTTTTCGATAATGTAACTAGTGCCCTTACTTCAAACGAAATCCCTTTTTTTCACAAAATGAATATGATTTGAGTACAAGGATTTATTCAACACTCACGCTTAGAAGTAATAGACTCTAGGATCACTATGGACTTTCTTGGCTTATAACGTAGGCTCAGGGTCAGGTGTGGTACATTTGGGTACTTTTTAGTGACTTTCTCCCCTCCTTGACATTACATTAGGATTTTTACCTCTTTTTGCCCTATTTTTGACATCCTACCATTTTTTCTTCTTTCCCTTGATTCTTTTCAACCATGGATGTGGCTTTCGAGTTTGTAGCTCTTAATTTATCCCTCTCTTCTTTTTCTTGCATTTTATTCTCTTCTTTAGTTTTCAACACTTTTGTTTGCTTTCTTTTGCACAAAGCCACATCTTTATTTTTTCTTTTTCAACACCAAACTCTTTTCATACCCATGTTTGTAGCTCTTAATTTATCCCTCTCTTCTTTTTCTTGCATTTTATTCTCTTCTTTAGTTTTCAACACTTTTGTTTGCTTTCTTTTGCACAAAGCCACATCTTTATTTTTTCTTTTTCAACACCAAACTCTTTTCATACCCATTTTTCTTTCGGTTTCCTCTTTCATAGCCACCCTCAACTCATGGATTTTCCATTGGTTGAGGTGCACAATACCCGATGTCAGATTAGGGCCAAGATTGATGTCACTTTTTACATTTAGCCACCCTCAACTTAGACTTTTGGTCTAAGTCGAGGTGCACATGTCCAAGGAGGGAGCTGGGCCAACACAGTAGATTGTGGGAAGGTGAGTTAGGGGTTTAGAAAGAAATGGTCTAATTTTAGGCTCAAAGCATTTGGATCAAAGGGAACATTAATATCATTTGGTTGTATTCTTTTTATGCAATTTGTGGACTTATCAGAACAAGGGCCTATGATCACTTCCTAGCCTCTACAGTAGATTGTCGTAGACAGACTAACCGGCCAAGTTCTAGACTGGCACAAAAATAGTTTGAACAATCAACCATTCTCACACACTCTTGGCACATAGTTTCATTATCAGATTACCCAGTTCAAGTTTTATCTTAAGTCATGCCATCAAGTTGGTTCATTATCATGTCATACTCAGAGCCAACAGATTCAACTCATTCTGCCTTACATATTTTAGCACATATCACAAAGTTTTGGACGGGTATCATTTTTTAAAAAAGCTTTTGCCATCATGCTTCAATCTTTCTCATGCTTCTACACATACAATCCTAACACATGCCGGTTCAATAGAAAATAAGCAGTGTCTTGGGGTAAAAGAACATAGGCAAGAAAACTCGAAGAGTGGATTGTGAAGCAAACCTGTGGCGCATAGTGCCGATGAACCATCAACAAGCGGGTGGGTCCGGTTTCCCGGAGCCCGCTACAACAACATTGGGGTCACCCTCAGTAGTGCCTACATCAGCAATCATAGCACCCTCAGTAGTGCTATCAATCATTCTAACCGCACCATCAGTGGTGCTCACATCATGTACCATAGTATTCGGCACATCCGTCACAGGCATAGAACTTGATGCCCCAACAACACTCTCACAAACCTCTCCTGGCACAACTGCTTATCTAATATCGAAGCCCTCTTAGCCTGCTTCTCCTTCTTTGGGCATCTTCAGTGGCCTCAGATGTGTGTCTAGATCGGTGCCTCTTACTTTGGTCATGTGTGGGCTCGGGCTACTCCTCTGCGTCCCCACTAAATAATGCATCAAGGAAAATATCATCCAACAAAGCAGTAGGTGCAGCCTATTGCTCAACTGCATGTGTGGCAAAAATGGCATTAATGTCATCCCGGAGACTGGCTAACACGGTCTGGGAAGA